TGGCTATACCATTCCTTGGTATATTTTGCTTACAGCTGCAGGATGATAAGTAGATGGGCTGCTTTTCAATTATAGTTCCTACTTATCTAGTTACCATTTATGGTTCCCACTTAGGAATTTTCAGACTCTGTTGATTTAGGAGTAAATATTGTGTTCCTCAAAATAAAAATATTTTCTTTTAAAAATATATTAATGAAAAAAAGCTTCAAAATTGAGTTAATTTTCATGATACTGGATCACCTTAAAAAATTTTAGTTAGCTCACTTGAGTAATTAAGGTGTGAATTTCTTTTTCTTAGCTCAGTAAGAAATTGTTTGTCTTCTGTGTGCAATAAGCCAATCAATAACCATATCCCAGTAATTATGAGGGCATGGTAAAACTAAAAGGTCCAAAGGTTAGTCACCTCAAATTTAAAATTTGGGTAAAATCTTGAATTTTCTATTTCCATTTGAAAGATAAAATCAGGTAGAATTTAAATCAAATGGTCTTTCAGTCAGTACCTTCCTTTGTAGAAATGGTAAAACTTGATGGCCTGGAGAGAACAGGATATGGGTCCTGCAAGAATACCTGAAAAGAAAAAGCTGGCAGCAAAGACCTTTCTTTTTTCCATTTCTGATCTCTGTACAACTACCCCTATGGTGTGGTGAGAGGGTAGGAAGGAGTGAGCCAGGCTCTAAAAATAATCTTTGAAAGCCCAAGACATGTGGTACTTGGACAAGTTCTTCTGGGCCTTTGTATCCTAAGTCCTTCTGTGAACACTGCTCTAGGACTTAAGGGTCAGATGAGGGGAGATGGGAAATGGAGCAAATTGGGCAGCAAGCACTCTATTCCAAGCAAGAAAAGCTTGCTCTTTCTTTAAAGACCACAGTCCGTGCCTGGTGTCTGACCAGTGGCAGTCACTTGGCCACCAATGGACCAGAGGAAGAGGAGAAAAGTCACTGTCTTGTTGCCATACTGAGGCAGGAGATAGATGAGATCGAAGTTAGGCATTTACAGTTGGCCCCCTGTTTACATTTCATGGGGCAGGAAAAAGGTGGCTTCAGGCTGGACACTTACAACTAGCTTCCTATCTGCATTTCCTGAGACATGAGATAGGTGGGTTCCAGGTTAGGCATTTATGATCACCCTCCTGCTTATTCTCCAAAACAGAAATAACAACAGAAACAGGGTAAATAGCCAGGATTTGTCTCCTGTGGACACCTGAAGATAACAGTCATGGCAACCACAAAGAGGCACTAAACTCTCTTTGAGAAAAGGATCAGGACGTGGTGTATTTTTTTGTCCTTGGGGCAAGGGAGATACTACACATGCACAGAAGGACTCCTTGGGGGTCAAAAGGCAGGGGACGGCCACCAGGCCATATGTCTTGCAATTTTCCTTCCCAGACACCTTGAGCTGGACTCCAACTTGGCAGAGGGGTACGTGCACATCTTGGGGAGGGTCGTGAGACAAATTAATCAGAGGCACAAAACAAGATGACGGCCAGAGGGTGGACAAAGACCTAGTGAGCGCAGACAAAGACAAAGTGCCCCCTTACAAAGGATTTACATTTTTCAAAGGTGCAACTCTCTTCCAGAGTTTGCCCATGCTTCTTTCTGTGTTGTACTCTGATTTTCTCTTTTTCCTTCCACCTCCTTGTCAGAATTTTCTTTTCAAGACAGGTAAGGACTGGGGATTTAGGCTCTAGCTGCTGGCCTTCATGGTCCAGTGGACAGGAATTCCGGTCTACACCTGGGTGACCAGGGATCCATTCTCGGTCAGGGAACTAAGATCTCACTTTCAGCTACTGCTCACTGCTGCATGCGCCCATAGTAGGAACCCTGTGAACACTGCTGTCAACCTCCCCCCTTTCTCCTGTTCACCTCTCACAGGGCATGGCAATCAGGGCCAGGAGCAGGCAGGAGTAGGGAGAGTTATTTATGCAATCAGTCTCACATTCTGCTTGAATCCATTTAATTTCCAAAGCAGGTAAAGCCCCTCTATTCCTCAGTCTGCAAATGCAGCCTTCTCCTTGTAAAGGGGCAAAGCGAAATTAGTTCAAAACTGCAGAAAACCAGTTGGTGTTAAACTGTAAAGGAGCCTGGGGCTGTTAGGAGAATGAGAGGCAGTCAAGAGGCAACTCTGGTGGGAGTACAGTGATTCTACCGGAAGATATCAGTTCACACCCAGGGTCTCCTCCTAAAGATTTGCTGGATGAGCTCAATAATAACCAGGCTGTTGTTACTGTTATTCATCTTTAGTCGCTCAGTCATGTCTGACTTTGAGATCCCATGGACTGCAGCTGGCCAGGCTCCTCTGTCCATGGAATTCTCCAGGCAAGAATACTGGAGTGGGTTGCAACTTTCTTCTTCAGGGGATCTTTCTGATCTAGGGATCAAACCCATGTTTCCTGCATTGGCAGGTGGGTTCTTTACCAGTGAGCCATTGAGGAAGCCCTTACTTAATATTTACTACTCAACAAATATTTACTGAACACTTAGTATGCATCAAGCACCATGCTAAGCACCATTAAGCAAAACAGACTGGGAGCCTCACTCATCCATTTCATCACTGCCCTGTGAGCAGTACTGAATACTAACCATAATGTAACTTTATGAGCCATGACACAGAAAGGCCATGGCATTCTCTAATGACCCATCTTCTCTCAGAGTCTGAACACTAAAAGGGTTTGCTGGGTTCACAGAACAAGAGGTTGGAATGATGTAGTTCAACTCTTTTCCAAGGTCTGTAAGCATACAAACCACCTGGGAATTTGGCTGCCAACAGTTCCTCCCATTCCTGTACATGCATACCCCTCCTGGAGTCTCTTGTCCCTCCAGTGATTGTGGCCTGGCCATGTGACTGTTTTGGACTAAGAGAATGTACTAAAGTTCTGGGAGGCCAAGCATTAAGAGGTCTTATAGTCTTCATTTGCACTCTCCTGGGATCCAGTTGCCCTATAAGAACCTTGGTTTAGATTACTGAATGATGAGTGTCCACATGTAGAGAACAAGCCTGTCTGGCCTTCAGTCAGCCCAGGTTCAGCTGCCCTTCTACATCCACACAACGGTAAACGGTATAAGGAATGCCAGCCAGCACTACTAGAGCCAAAGAACTGTCAGCCAACTCACAGAATCACAGGAAATAATAATAAGTAACTTTTGGAGTTGTTTGTGAAACAAAATTAAATAGAAACTACTGCTGGGAAAACTTAAAGCATGTGGCATTGGCTGTGGGACTGGGTGGTGGGATGGATTGGAATCTCATTCTGTTACTCAGGGCTGGAAGAACAGGGAAGAAATTGCTTTCAGGTCTTTGAGAAAGTAATGGTAAAAAGTTTAGCAATGCTACTGTCTGCTGTAAAGTAGGAGACAGAAAATATGATGAATGGGTTTGGAGATCTGGCTAAGGTGATTTTCAGGCTGGTTATCAAAGCTTTGGTGGCACATGATAAGAAGGAACTAGTTCATTTTCATGCAGAACTTTGAGAGAAATGCAGAAAATCTAGGACAGTCTCTCAATTTAGCAAAACATTCTCAAAGTGAGAAATGGCCTCAGGGTAAAGAGCAAATAAAAGTTGTGGCTGTAAGCGTCCTTGCTGAGTCTTCTGATGGGTTAAAAGTGGGAGGTGACAGACCATCTCAGACAAAATAACTCCTGGAAGTGAGAAGAGTGAGGTTCTGAAGAATCTTGAATCACCACGAGGTAGAAAAAGACCCACCTGTGAGTTATTAGCCTTTTGCTAATAGAATGGATTATCACTGAATACATAGAAGGTATACAAAAGTTTTTAAGGGGCTGTTTCATTTTGGACTACTTAAAAAGGGACAGGGATGGTTTAAAACAAAAAGAGGTCTCTTGGGCCTCAGATTTCTACTGGCAGAAAGTCAACCAAGAAAATAAATCTGAAGCAAACGCAGACTTATTTTCTTATGGAAAAGAAAGAAGAGCACAGGGGGTGGAGCAATGAGTTTCTGAGAACAGTAAACTAGGAAAGCACTCCTAGGAAGCAGAACTAGGTCCCAGTCTACAAACACTCCCTGTTCTCCAAGTTCGGAAAACTGGTGATGTGTCAGGCTGGCTTTCAAATCTACTGTGGACTCATGGGGCTTCCCAGGTGGGGCTAGTGGTAAAGAACACACCTGCCAATGCAGGAGACATAAGAGATGAGGGTTCAATCCCTGGGTTGGGAAGATTCCTTGGAGGAGGGCATGGCAACCCACTTCACTATCCTTGTTTGGAGAATCCCATGGACAGAGGAACCTGACGGGCTACAGTCCATAGGATCGCAAAGATTTGGACATGACTGAATCAACTTAGCACATACACATGTGGACTCATGACTAATTTAAGTTTAGGCCAATGATCATACATTTGATAGCTCAGTGCTCTCAAGGTTGTACCGACATAAAGGAAAACACACGAATGATTACCAGGATTATTTTCATATCTCCAAGATAGCTTTTCATTCAGAAATCATTTCAGTCATTTAATCAGTTTTCTAAAGGTTGTTCCTATAACTAGTAAACTTCTTTTTCCTATTCACCCAAATATGACAGTCAAGAATATACAGCTATACTGGAAAGGGTGACTTCACTATTTAAAAAGTTGGCTCTGTGCCACAAAGACAAATTAAGACACCAATGAACCAAATAAATGCCTCAGCAAGCAGTTACAGAATTAGAACTGAAAAAACACACGTTGTGCAAAGTAGAATTCTGCAATGTGCCATCAACAGACACCACAATGGGAAGACACCCCTGAAGTTGGCCGATACAGCATAAAGAGCCTATTCTTTGCAAAGATGAGATGTGACTTTGCCCCTGAAAACCTGGCATTCTAGTAGAAACTGAGCAACCATTGATTAACAATAGCACATACATATAAATGTAATAATGAACATGAACTATGGGTATAGACAGCAAAAATGAACTTGAACTTGAGGAGTGGAAGCAAGAATACTACAGGCTATAAAATGCACAAAAGTCAAATCATCACACACATTAGAGGATTCAGCTTACCTGACATGCTGATGGATGACTGTGGTTGAGATCCCAATGGGAAGATACTATGTCAACAGACTTTTTGGCCATGCTGAGTAAGTTCATCCAGCCTTGGAAAAGTGATAAGTGAAATGGTGCATTTTCTGAATAGTTAAGGCCTTCAGGAATATTTTCCACCAGGGCAATTCTTAGAAAAGATTTTGAAAAACAAACAAACAAAATCTAGTCAAATTTGAAGCCACAGATCTTTACACATACATACAGAGACATCTGAAAAATATTCTTTACTCTTTCTGAAAGTATATGTTCCTCATATTTACATTTTTCATTACAGGACTTTAATATTTCACCTATACTAACCTACTGTGTTCTGAATTTATGCTCTGCTTCTCCCCAGTTAGCACTCATATTTCAGAAAATCATGGTATATATCCCTAATGTCCAGTGTCCAACTAGCCTTGAGAAAAAATCCAGAGTATCCTACACAAGCATCTTCCTCTGGTAATATTTCTTTTTTCCCCTTACAGTAATGCAATTTTTTAAAAAAGATACTACTTCTGAGAGCTACTTAAGACCATAAATTAATTTTGCATATCTCTAGTTTCTAGTATAATGTTGAACATATAACAGAACTAGTTCAGAAACAAAAACATTGTTAGGCTTATTACTACTAGAAAATAAAAATAGTAAGTGCTATTACTATTGCTTAGAAACTCTGTTAATGCTTTGCAGCCTAAGACATAAAATGATACTAAGAAGGAAATTTTAAAACTTGCCTGCTGCAGGGATTTATTAAAGTTGGAGATAGGGAATGTATAAAATAATAGCAATAACCAAGCCCTAAATAAACTGCAGGGGCTTCCCTGGTGGCTCAGTGGTAAAGAATCTGCTTGCCGATGCAGAAGATCGAGTTTGATCCCTGGGTGGGGAAGAGCCCCAGGAGAAGGAAATGGCAACCCACTACACGTTCTTGCTTGGAAAATTCCATAGACAGAGGAGACTGGTGGGCTACAGTCCATGGGATCACAAAGAGTCACACACAGCTGAGCGACTAAGCACTACAACCATTGCAGAATGGGCTTCCAGAGACTAAACAACAACAAATAAACTACAACCAGTAACATCCAAATAAATGTGCCTTCTCTTTTTATACCAATACTTCCTCATTTATTGGCAACATGTACACTATGGCTTCCCTTGGTGCTGTATGCTTTTCACTTCTAAGTTACCCCAGGTGACACATAACATTTTAATAAAGGGACGAACAATTTTTTTTCCAGTTTAAGAAACATAAATTCTCCTGCAACTTTTGATGGGAAGCTCCAAACTCTTACGAAGTTATCTGTAAGCCCTTCCAGAACAAAGATCTTTTTTATTCAAAGCTAGGTATCCCTAGAGCTGGATATATAATTAGGGCTCAAGAAATACTTATAGAATGAATTTCAGCTTCCAGTGTAGAATCCAGAACTTCTCAATAAAACTGCTAATTGTGTCTCTTAATAAGACTTGTTCCATTTAGCCAGTTTTAGAAACAAAAACAATACTCATAGTAAAATGTCTATGTATTTGATGAATATCAAGCTCAAATAAGGTTTGAGTATACGTCTTACAGACATCCACAGATTTAAGGTCCTATCACCCAACTGCTACCCACAATTGAATTAAAAATTTTTGGAGCCGTTAGGAGCACAGAACAAGCAAATCACTCACTGTACACAACACAGAAAGGACTACAACAAAACTCTCTAGTTCTCTGGAATTTATAATCCAGTGAAAGAGCTTGTCTCATATGTAATGACTTAAATAGGAAGTAAACTTTAAGAAATGGCAAAACAAGAGTGAGGATTAATTAGATGGATAATGCACCATCTAAAGTTCCACTGGAGCATGAGCAGAAAGGAAAAAGTAATTAAGTTAGGAACATCTGGAACTGAAGAAAGTGGGAATTGAGTCTGCAAAGATAGAATTATTTTTATAGGTGAGCTGGAAGAGAAAGATATTTTAGGAAGAAGGAGGAACTTTTAAAACATGGTGTATTTGGATACTTGAGAGTTGGGTGGCCAAGGGGAGTGTGAGGTGGAGAGTTGTGGCAGGGGCCTGCCATGGTGGAGAAGGCTGGCAACGTCAGTAGGGACCACACTCTAGTGGTTGTGAAGCAAGAAGAGAAGCTTGGACTTAATTGTGATGCTTTTGAGAGTGACCACGTACATTTTAGGAGTCTAACTCTGACAGCACACCTGTATACCATTGAAAGAAGATGACAGTCACTAAAAGGTCCATTGAAACTGACAAGGAACATGATTAAGGGAGATTATCAAGGTGAAAAAGAAGAGAAAACTAGCTCATGACCTAATGTGGGAGGAATGTCTACATTTTCCTGGTTAGTAGCGTGTGAAACAGATGAGAAGATTCAGAAGTGACCAGAAGAGTCAGGAAGACAAGAGAGGTCCAGGAGAACGCAGTGTTTGGGAAGCCAAAGTGGGAGAGGGTCAAAAAGGTGGAGATGGGATATTTTTATCCACATCAAAGCCTTTGAAGGCAAGATGTTGAAGCTGGATATTTTAATTCCACCCACACTTAAAGTCCAATTATCTATATTAACAGTAGCTAGACATAGCATGAAGAAACGATCCCAGTTAATCAACAATGTCGGCCCCCTCCACAACTAAGGAATATATTTTAAAATCAAACAAAAAAAGAATCCCAATAAACAAAATAAAAATAGAACATAATTTAACAAATAGAACTCAGTAGTTTCAATTTTACTTCAATATAAAAGTCATGCTGAGAAAGACAAAGAGTCAAGAAGCCCTGATAAACCAAACATGCACAACAATGGATATAGAGTAACTGTCCAGTTGTAAGTGGTTCTGCACCGCCCCTTTCTTCATACCACACACATGGTTTCTGGTAGGCATACCATACGGATTCCCAATTTCTTTTAGAAATCTTTACACCAGATATTCTTAATCTTGGATGCATGAATAGAATTTAGGGTGACCTGTGAGCTTGATCTTTATTTTCCTTCATCTCTAACTGAAATTTAACATTCCCCTCAGTTACAGACATAGACAAAAAAATGACAGGAATATTAAAAGAACCTGTGATTCTGTTATCATTAAAAATTTTCATACCATGATACAATTACTACTACTGATATCTCCAAGTATTAATATTTATCACTACTTTGAAATTATGGGAATCATCAGATCTTATTATCTCTTGAATAAGTAGTATAGAATATACATTACTATACCACATTTAAAAAATATTTTGGATAACTTTATTTTGATGTTACTGGTTTTCTTTGGAATCCTATGTATCTCAATGTATGCACTTAAAACATTATTCATGAAAGGAGTCCATTGGCTTCAGCAGACTTCTACTATGGCACAAAAAAGTTAAGCAGTACTCATCAGACGGATAATATATCATCTATTTCTTTTTTTCCTACTTCAAACACATTCTTAAAAGTTTTTTTCCCATTATTGAAGCCTTAGAAGTAGATAAGATTATCAAGATTTTTAAGAGATGGGAACTGGGTCAAAGCCTAATATGGAAAACATCTAATCATATCTAGCTAAGATCATGACATCTAGCTAAGATCATGGCATCCGGTCCCATCACTGCATGGCAAAAAGACAGGGAAAAAATGGAAATAGTGACAGATTTTATTTTCTTGGGCTCCAAAATAGCTGTGGATGGTGACTGCAGCCACAAAATTAAAAGACACTTGCTTCTTGGAAGAAAAACTATGACAAACCTAGACAGTGTATTAAAAAGCAGAGACATCACTTTACCAACAAAGGTCCGTATAGTCAAACCTATGGTTTATCCAATAGTCACGTACAGATGTGAGATTTGGATCATGAAGAAGCACTGAAGAATTGATGCTTTCGAACTGTGGTGCTGGAGAAGACTCTTGAGAGTCCCTTAGACAGCAAGGAGATCAAACAGTCAATCCTAACGGAAATCAGTCCTGAATATTCATTGGAAGGACTGATGCTGAAGCGGAAGCTCCAACACTTTAGCCACCTGATGTGCAGAGCTGACTCACTGGAAAAGACCTTAATGCTGGGAAAGGCTGAAAGGCAGGAGGAGATGTTTGGATGGCATCACTGACTCAGTGGACATGAGTTTGAGCAAACTCCAAGAGATAGTGAAGGACAAGGAAGCCTGGCGTGCTGCAGTCCATGGAATCGCAAAGAGTCAGACATGACTGAGCAACTAAAGAACAACAAAAACACATCTAGAGAACATCTAGAAAACAACCAGAGAAAGTGGGGCAGGTGAAGAAGACCAGATATTTTTGGAAAGACTGGAAAAGAAGAGTGAAATTTCCTGGAAGTCAAAGAAGATCAAATTTATTATTATTATTTGGTTTTTACTAAATACAAAAGTAAATCATGAATTTATACTAAATATAAAAATAGAGACACCACCAAAGGTCTGGAGACCACACCTATGTTTGGTAATAAATTCTGGGGAAACTCTGCTCACCTCACTTTCCTCCTCTCTCATTTTACCTGGAGAACTTGACTGTCCCTTCTGTAACTCAGCACTTGTTTCCTATACACTGCTAAAAAAGGTCTTTAGAAATCAGCCTTGAAATGACTGAACTTACCTTTGTGACCTATCACTGTATTTCCTTTAACAACCAACAGCTAGCTGCTCTACAGGGGCCCGAATAGAAATAACACACACACAGAGCTCAGTCCCATGGATAGCAGCCCTGTTATACTCTTCTTTCTCAAGCAAGGCAAAAAGTGGGCAGAAATCATCAAAACTCACCTTTGGGCAAATCCCTGGAATTCCTGCATGCCTTCTCTAAGTGAATTATGCCCAAACGCATGGCACTATTTCTGACACCTAATAACAGGGAAAAAGTTGAATATACAGAGACACAAACAGCAAAAATCTTTTTTATGCCTCTTTTGATGGTACTGAGAGACCACTACAAATGATTGAAACTGTGAGTCCAGGGAATTTAGATGGAATAAATATTATATTGTTAATAGATTGTTGCAGTAGAATTCTAGCTGCTCTTAGTATGCATTTTACTCTCCAAACTTAATGTGATCATTATTTCTCTTTCAGTTCGGGAACAATATATAACCTTCTCAAAGAAATAGCTGTAGTTTTCTTAAAAGCTACAAAGAAGGGAACTCTGGCATCTGCTAACTTTAT